CTAACCAACAGGAACTATCCTTCACGATTTTTCTATGGCTTAGACGCCGCAGAGAGCTGCCCCGTGACTCTGACCGTGATCTCAGGATGAACCAAGTGGATCGCGTGGCCATCCACGAAGCCATGGAACAACAATGCGTGACCATCGCCAAGGCGCCTTCGGCGCGGCTCGCCTCCGGTGGCCCCGGTGGCCTGTGGGATGTTCGATGTTAATGGTGATTGAGTTAAGCCATGTGGGGATTTCGGCCAGAAGTTCGATTTAAGCGATTTTTTTGAGTTCAGATAGGTTTTTTGAGCAATTCACCGAGAAAAATCAGGGTGCTATAAATTTGAAACTGATGGAAGATTCCCTCATGAGATGGGTATTCAATTCGGGAAAAGTATGGAAAAACTCCAGCCGTTGAGTCCGCGGGACATTTTCCAGCGGGCCAGTGACTACCACAACCTTTTTGGGCCAGCTGCTTGGTGTCCATAGTGGGGATACTATTGGGATATGAGATGATTCGTGGGAGTTAAGGATCCCCCAGAATCGTTGCTTGTTCACCCATCTATGTTAAATCATGCTGTACACCGAGTTAAAGAAGTTTTTCTTGCCTATTGTTTGGGTGCTCCACATTGTAGCCTTGGGGTTGAGAATGGACCAACCAACAACATTTTAAGCGATATGGATAGGGTTTTAACATAGTTTTAATCAGAAAACAAAATCAGAAATAATATGATTGACCGACTGGAAATATGGATTTCCTCTATCGCTTGTCAGGCAGCAAAACATGGAGGGTTCATGTCTCAACGGGAGAAGATCATTGGCAAACATACTGGTTGGATACATGATGGTGATGTTTCAGCCAGTCAGCGAGCTACCTGAGTCATGCTGTTGGGGGGACCCAACAATCAAGCGGGTCATACTAAATAATGTCAACCCTGGATTAATAAACCCCTATTTTGTTTAATTGGGGGGATACCATTTAAGTATCATATTGTGACTATTTGGAGGAGTACCCCCCTAATTAATAAGCCATGGTTTATTAATCCAGGGTTGGCATTATATTGGACATTATCATAATCCATTATGAGAATCCTTTCTGAGGATTCCGTAGGATTCCGTGGGATGGATGACCATACCACATATCAGCCATCTTTTGACCAGGGCACAATATGTTGCAGGATGCTACTCCTCCGGTTATAGGTTGCCTTATAGTCCCCATTAACTAACTCGATATGATGCCCATAAACCCAAAGGTTCTTCGGGTCATCAACGAACGCAGCGAACTATGTGGCAGAAGCCTGTGCCAAGCAAAGACCTTCCCATATGTGCCTCTACTTGGAGGATCATCTCACCCTGGTGATCGTAAGTCTCCAGTGTATTCTCCCATTTATAAATGGCTTAGAACAGTGAATTATCCCCGGTTATAAGTGTAGTAACTTTGGTTATTAACCACTTATAATCAGTGGCTGATAAGTGTTATGATAGGTGGTTAATATATGGGTGAATAGCATATAATGCTTATAAATGTTATTAATAAATGTTACTAACCACTTATTATTAATAATACCCTCTGGTAAACTAACAGTTTGCTATTGAAAATGGCCATAGAAATAGTTGATTTACCCATTAAAAATGGTGATTTTCCATAGTTTTTGTTAACGTTTACCAGAGGGTACATATATCAGTGAATTATGCCCAGTTCCTTTGATCGGCCAGGCCGGGATGCACGTGACTCTGAATGCGAGGTGCCGCGGTGCGTTATTACCGTGGGAAAACCATGGGGAAAACCATGGGAAAACCATGAAGGTTATCTGGCTATGGGAATGTCATAGAATACTGGTTGGTGGTTTGGAACATTTGGATTATTTTTCCATTCAGTTGGGAATAATACTCCCAACTGACTTTCATATTTTTCAGAGGGGTGGCTCAACCACCAACCAGGATATGGTGATGAAAACTGGCATTAAAAGCAGTTTCGAGGTCAATGAACTGGATGGAACCATGGATGTTTTACTACCACCCACTCATCTCTTGACCACGATTTACCACTTTACCAGGTCAATCAACTTGATGGATAATAGATGATTAATGGATGGTTAATGGGATGATGAATGGATGATTAATGGATTACTCGGTCAATCAACTGGATGGATAGAAACTAATCCGAACTAGTCTTGGATGGTATCAATGGGATTATCTACTAACACCAGCTAAGAATTTGGCATTTTTTGCAGGGGCCCTCTGGCTGATTGGCCATGGAATGGGCCCCATTGAGTGATTTTACGACTCGATTTTTCTGTTTGTGTGTGCAAAAAAAAAAGGCAGTTTGTGGCTCAAGAAATCAAGTGTGGGTTTGATTCTTAAACTGGAAAAAATCATGAGGTGCTCAATCTTTCTTCTGCGTTTGCAGAAGGAAATCATCACTGTGCAAGAAGCGTCAAGACCTGGTTAGTGGACTTGTAGCCCGGCTTAGCTATGGGGCACCACCCTGTAGATTTGTTTGCCCCGATAGCAGCTGATAGATGGTATAGACCGGCCCTCTATTTCCCCCAAAGCGACATAGTTGGTATAAGGTAGATGTTTCTACAGTATAGCAACCCCAAGTTATGCAGAAAAGTACTTCACAACTGTTTGGTGCTTCAGCCCAGTTGGTAAGTCAGTTATAACCCTGCTTATAAGTAGGGCAAGTAGGGTTAGTCCAGTTATGCCTGGCGTTATATCCCACTTTACGCTGTGATCTACCAAGTAGGGTTGGATTTCACTGTGCTGCATCTACCAATAGGGGGATGTGGTTCCCCAGCTATAAGTTGATTTACATTACAAACACAGCTAGCTACAATAGATATACCTTCAAAAAGCCAAGCTATCCTGGTTATAAACCAACTATGGTTCCCATAAAATTTTCCATATATGTCACACATATATTTCCCATTTGGTTCTATATTTTCCCATAGCTGTCCCAAAATCTTCATGGTTAAACCATGTTAAACCAGAAATTTTCAGGCTTCGAAACCCATGCTTCTACCCACGTCGGTATTAGTATGGTCCAATTTGTGTTCAACCACCCGAGTTTTCAGAAGGTTTTCCCAAGATTTGTCCGAAATCGGAAACATACCCTCTGGTAAACTAACATGACTATGGAAAATCACAAATTTCAAGGGCTTAACGAATCAGATATGGGGATTAGCTAGGGTTTATATGGTGAGTATAACATATATAATAACTGGTTGGTGGTTTGGAACATGTTTTTTCCATTCAGTTGGGAATAATGCTCCCAACTGACTTTCTTTTTTTTTTCAGAGGGGTAGGTATACCACCAACCAGCATATTTTGATATGGAGGTTTCCAAAAATCAGCGTGCCCCTTTATCGCTGGATGGTTCATTTCATGGAAACTCCTTTAAAAATGGATGATTTGGGGGTACCATGACCAAACAGAAACCTC